TTCTGTCAATTTTTCTGTCAACCCATGGACCTGTCAGGCCAGTACAGCAATGTAGCTGTGTGTGGTTGTGTGTGGTCATTATGATGGATGTCCAGAGATCCAAACAAAGAAAAACGTGATGGCCTTCAGACTGATCTCACTCTGTAGACAGTCTACGGCAGTTTACTGTGGAAAAGCATGAAGATACTGGTTATTTATTAAGCGGCTTGAAAGGTAGGGGCATTTTAAAGGGAATTATGCATAGTCTAATGAATTTATTGGGTAGTTCTATAATCCAAACACTTTCAACTTTGGTATTCTAGCTGTCTGTGACTTGAAAAAACCAAAGATCCAGTGAAGGACCTGGGTGCCCAGCCCTGGGAACAGAACTGAAAACATGGAGCAAAGGACCCACGTCTACATGGAATCTCAGGTGATCAGTGTAGGCTTGCAGTGAGATTGTTTAGATCGTCCTGATCTCTGGCATATTAGTGTTAGACTATATCTAGTAAATGAGCTATCTCATTTGCAAGCAACTTTACACACTTCTGTCCACATATACTTATGCAAATGGATATAGGATGAGCACCAGTTGTTTCTGTGAACTTTCTGCCACTGCCCCCCACACACGCAGAGCTGCCTCATTCTTTAAGGCTGGTGCAGCTACTGACTCCCACCATGAATCTTCTTAGATTACTTTTCTACAGAATAATTAAGACAGAGAGGGAGAGAAAAAAAAAGCAATGCAGTTTGGAGGTGCTGCCAGCTCAGCAGAGAAACTGCTGTGGGAGTGCTGTGCACAGAGCACATGAAGGAAAAGGTAGGGGAACAGACTCCCACAAGGAAAAGACTGAGAAATTACTTATTTTGTAGGCACTTCTTCTAGACAGTAGATATTTCTTCAAATGCAAAGGACCAGAGTGGAAAAGATCGAGGCAATAGGTAAAATGAAGGAGAGGAGATTAGCAGAGTTCCAGCATCATAATTAAATTATTTTCCTTGAAAAATTAGTGCTAAGAAATCATCTGTTTTCTACATAATGCATTTTACTCCTTCCTCTGTGGGACAGATCTGGTTGCAGGCAGAATAAGACAGACCATTTCCTCTAATTTTGAAAGTTTTAAGAAAATCTTAAAGAAATCAGATTTGAAATAATAAGCATGAGAACTTGATACCATTTTATCAATACTCAGATTTCTCTGGATACCAATGCAAAAGAGAAAAGCCATTCCTTCATGACTGTTTACAGCCTCCGGTCTAAGCAATACATTGCTGCAGCAGTCACGATACAGCGATACACAAGTTGTTTTTTTTATTCATGCTTAGTGTGTCCATGCAAGCACACCTCGTGATACATCCTCTGGACTTTTGAAATGGCCCTCACTGCAATGTATGAAAAACTGAAGAGGAAGGGTTTCACGTGCACTACCCAGTGTTCTTGATCTCCATAAAACCAAGGGCCACTAAGATGATGAGAGGGCTGGAGCACCTCTCCTATGAGGAAAGGTTTAGGGAACTGGGCTTTTTTAGCGTGAAGAAGAGAAGGCTTTGTGGAGACCTCACTGTGGCCTTCCAGTACTTGAAGGTAGCATATGAGCAGGAAGGTGAACGACTGTTTACATGGATCAATAGTGACAGGAGAAGGGGGAATGGTTTTAAACTAAGACAAGGGAGATAGAGGTTAGATATTAGGAGGAAGTTTTTTTTTTACACAGAGGGTGGTGACGCACTGGAACAGGTTGCCCAAGGAGGTTGTGGATGCCACAGCCCTGGAGGCATTCAAGGCCAGGCTGGATGTGGCTCTCGGCAGCCTGGTCTGGTGGTTGGTGAGCAGGGGGGTTGAAACTAGGTGATCATTGTGGTCCTTTTCAATGCAGGCCATTCTATGATCCTACGACTTAACGCACATATCTGTATGTATTTTTATCTTGGTTAGCAGGGGTTAATAACTGACAGAATCAGTCAAACACACCTATTGAACACTCTTAACACAAGAGGGAAATCTACAGCCATTCTGTATTGTTCTTCTGAAAATTATGCTATTTTTGTGCATTCTGAAGGGAATAAACGCAATTTCATAAATAAAATATTTAACAGTTTCTCTTGCGGTCATTAATGGCTCGATATTAAAAAAAACCCTGCTTAGACACCAAGGTATTTCCAGTATCATTCACTCCCTGTGCCAAATTTATGGTTTGTGATGGAAGCATACTTTCAAGAAGGTGAACCAGTGATCTTGGCACTTAACAATTATCATCATAATTCATTTTTGTGAGTGAGAAGGCTATAGGATCAAAATAACAAAAAGCAAACACCATTCCCTAAACAAAGAAAACCGATCCAAACCTCTCTTTGTTGATCCATTTTAGGAATCTCTGTATCAGGCTCAGTGAGCTGACAAGGAGCTGAAGTGCGTATGGTGTAGCTAGGCCTTTTTAAACACATAGCTGAAACAAGAGAGAATTTATCCTCTCCTTATGCAACCTCACAGCAAATCTGCCATCCTATCATTCAGTGCATTATCTTCAACATTTCTTCAAAAGAAGCACAGAAAATAAAGAAAGGATTTTCACAGCTGGCAATGTACTAAAATATAATAACTTTCACCAGGAGAATATAATGGAACTGCTGTTTAAGAAAATGCTACAAACTCGTTTAATTTTCTTAGTTTTTTAAAGTGGAAACTTTTCTCCTTCGATGATGGAAGAGAATGGGGGAAAAGAGAATCAGTAAATATTTTCACCCTTCACAGCTGAAATAAATATTATAGTTTTATCTGTTTCAGGTTTCCGATAGAGATTTCAGAGTTGATTAGAGCTTTCAGGAACAATCTAGGCCTTCTAAATTGAAGTATTCCAGATTTTCTTTAATTGACAACCGCTTACATAGTACATCACAGGCTTAGTGCCTACTCACCAGCCACATTTCTCATAGATCTGTTATTGCACAAAAATGAGTGTGAGAGGCCTTCTGTATTAATAGTTTATGAAGATACTTCAATTACAGCTGACCATAGAGTATTCTCTCTATATTCTTCTCCTGAGCCTCTCTCTGGAGTCTCTTTTTCTGGAGGGCCAAAGCTTCCTGAAGTGATAATACAATCTCCTGAAATATAATGATTTGGACTTGGTGTGGGGCAGCACCATTTTGAGAAATAGCTGTAAGAAGTGCTTAGGCAACCCAATTTGTACAGAGCACCAACTAATTAAAGTCGAAACTCTGGCTTTCTATTCCCCTTAAGGTGACAGAGTTTTAGATCTAAAGAAACAAAACAAACAAACAAAAAAACCCAACAAAAACACACACAGGAAGAAGGATAGCCTGTATTAGACACCAGTTCAAAGAGGAATAAATGAAAAAAAGTCTGATTTATCCACAGGAAACTGTCCAGGATCAAGGTTTTCAGTCACCTACTTTATTCCCAGTTCCTTTTCTTCTAATCAGTCTCACTGCACGTTACTCGCAATGAACTAACAAGATGAAGAACTTCCTGGAGCAAGGTGCTGCAACAGTTCAGTTCAGTACAGAGGCACTTTCCTTCCTCTGGCCTTCCTGCTTTCTGCTCTTCAGTCTTTCATGATATTTGTGTTACCTTCTGGATCCCCAGTTCTTACTCACTTGCCAATAATTTCTGCCCACATGCAGCCATAACACAAAACATTAGTGCAATATGAAAGACAAGCTGTCAGATACCCCAAGGTAGAATCAAAAAAGAAGCAGAGAAGGAGTTATTTCTATATCTGTATCGCTGATTGACAAGCCCTGTAGAAGGACATGTGCATGCATTTACCATTTTAAAGAAGTAATCATGCTTGCTGAAAGCATCAGCCTTAGGAAGAATCATAGAATCACAGAATCACAAGGTTGGAAATGACCTGCAAGATCATGTAGTCCAACTGTCCATTGCTGCCACAAGTCTCTAAACCATCTCTCGTAGCTCCTCATCCAGACACCTCTTGAACACTGCCAGGGACGGCGACTCCACCACCTCCCTGGGCAGCCATTCCAGTGCCTGACCACTCTCTGAGAGAAAAAGTTCCTCCTTATGTCTGACCTAAACCTCCTCTGGTACAACTTGCGGCCATTTCCTTGGGTCCTGTTTGTTGCCTGGCAGAAGAAGCCAAACCCCTTCTCATCACAACCTCCCTTCAGAAAGTTGTAGAGTGCAATGAAGTCTCCCCTGAGCCTCCTCTTCTAAACAATCCCAGCTCCCTCAGCCACTCCACATAAGACTTGTGCTCCAGACCCCTTGCCAGTTTTGTTGCCCTTCTCTGGACACTTTCAAAGGCCTCAATGTCTTTCTTATAGTGAGGGGCCCAAAATGAACACCGTACCCAAGGTGCCAGCCTCACCAGTGTTGAGTACGGGGGGTGATTACCTCCCTGCTCCTGATGGCCACACTATTTCCCATGTAGAAACCCATAGCTTGAAGGAAGGAAAGAAAATAGCTTGAAGAAATATAAAGCTCTTATAATGCTCAGCAGCTGACTTGTATTATTTCAGATAAACGTGGCTGAGAACTGATGGATACTTATTCCCCAGACACCAGCATTTTTTTCTCAGAATATCTGCTTTCTTCTTGCATAATGCCATATGAAAGTCATTTCTGGAGTTTGGAGCTTTTTGAAGGTTCACAAGAAAAAGCAGAGGGAGAAGAGCACTGCCCTGAGCAATGCAGTCTTAACATTGTCCTAGTGGATAATCAGAAGAGCTCTTCAATTACAAGACTGCATAGAAAGAAAGCACTGTAAATCCTACCCATTACCCAGGGCAATAAGAAATGTTAAAAAAAAAAAACAAAAAAAACCAAACAAACAACAAAACAACACCAACAGTACAGGCTTTCTCGACAAGTCATAGTTAACAGCTTAATGGAAGCTAGTAGACAAGATTTGCACTTCATGAAAGGAGTATGAGGCACACAGCAGTTTGAAATGTGCATAAATTACCTCCTCCTATCTTGCAGGAAGAATTGCATCTTCCTGAAATGCTAAAAGCAAGTAGATTAAATGAACTCCTACCTTGGAGAGCCTGGAGTGTACGAGTCTGTACAACAATACAGAGCTGCAGGACCAGCTGTGGTGCACTTTCCAGAAACGTGGCTAGCAAATGCAGCATACTCACATCTGCATACTCATACACCATTTTCCAATAAAACCGCCATCTGTCATTCTCTCCACTCTGTCGACTCCGGATACCCAAGTATATAGTGTGGAAATACCTGGAAATAAAAGAGAGAAATTATAGAAATGCAGAATGATATTTTACAGGTAACAGTTTTGCTCAAAAATAATTTATATTTAGTTGTTTTGCTCAAAAATAACCTATATTTTCCCAATGCACTTCAATGTTCTGAACATTTATTTAAAAGGAATATCATGCTGTAATTTGTAATAGTTGATGTGATAATAGTAAACTGAACTGAGGACAAGATTTGCCTTTATAAAACTGTTTACAAAGCTTAGCATTATATACACACATTTGTTAAATAATACCCCTTTCACAGACCCAATTTTCCGAACAGAAATGTAGGGGAGATAAATTGATTATGTGGTCTCCCTTGGAGCTTTTTCAAATAACGGTGGGAAAAAAACCTGATTCTGTGATGGCCTCTACTCAGAAACTGCAAAGAGCAGAGTCCAGGTCTGTGGAGCTCTATGTGGACTTGGAAGACCACCAAGGCCAAGCCTTGCTATGGATGAGCTCCTGATTCTCCACAGGTCTAGAGTTTACTATTACTATGTTTCAGATACAGCCAAATGCATACTGATTTTTCTCATGGATTGACTATTGTAGAAAGAGAGATCTATCAGCAAGTTCCTATTTTAGGAGGAGTGTAGATCTGGCTATGAGTCGCCTTGGTGATGAGAACTAGCTCACTATGACTGCTTCTGTGCAGCAGCAGGGAGCACCAGCAGGAGCCAGGAGCCCAACAATTGTGGTTGTAATTGACAGATAAGGGAATTAATAAGTTGTTGAATCATAGAATGCATGGACAGGGCTGCCAACCACTGGATCAGGCTGCTCAGGGCCCCATTCAACCTGGCTGTGAATACCTTCAGGCATGGAACATTCATAACTTCTCTGGGCAGTCCGTGCCAATGCCTCACCAGCCTCTGAGTAATGAATTTGCTCCTAACATCTAACCTTAATTTCCCCTCTTTTAGTTTAAAGCTATTCCCCTTGTCCTACCACTATCAGATGGTGTAAAAGTCAGACTCTCTCAGGTTTATAAGCTCCTTTCAAATACTGAAAGGCCACAACGAGGTCTCCACAAAACCTTTTCTTCTCTGAGCTGAAGAAGCTCAACTCCCTCAGCGTTTCTTCATAGGAGAGGTGTTCCAGCTCTCTAATGGGCAAAAAGTATGTGTCAGCTCTGAAGGCCTGTTCAAGCAACTGGAGAAATATCTGTTGGCCATCAGCCAACAACATAGATTTCAGTGGATGCCAGAGCACTGATCTGTTTTAGAAAGCAAGGGATATCCTATGACAGCATGCCACCTGGCTGCTGGGATGCTTTCCACGATCCTTGAAGAGCCTGCAGTGGTCTCCTGAGACATGGGCCATAGCACAACGATCACTCTGCGTGGCCACTGGTCTGCTCTCTAACCTGTCAGGTGTGGGGCAGGAGCTGAAGGAAAGAGAAAATCTGCTTCATAGGAGGCTTTTTATCTTGTTATTCTGTCAGAAAATCTGGACTCCCACTCTGCTCCTACAAACATAGTTTGTAATAATAATTGAGGCTAGCTGAAAAAACAGTCTAACTTAGTGAAAAGTTTTCAAGATTAAGATACTGTCCTTTCTCTCTCTGACTCTGCTACATCGTGGACCTGAAGTAATTTCTTATGATATTTTGATCTTTTTAATTATTTTCACAGCCTTTTTTAAAGCAAAACTGTATTTCCTAATGAGGACACATTTAACAAATTTTAACAACTTCTCAACTGGTTAAGATACAGCATTCCAGCATTTCTCCTTCTTCTCATATGCTTTCATCATAAAATCCTTCTCACACCTAGTAGAACACAGTGAGTTGTGAGGACTATGTGTATCAGCTGCCTGTAACCTTTTGTTCTAATCAGTCCTAACTCCAGAAGTACCTGGGTACTCTGACTGACAGAAGAACCCAGGGTTCAGCTGTCCCAGCAGAGAATAAGCACCCAACAGACCCTCGTACCCAATGTACACATCGGAGCAACAGCTTCACTCAGGAACATACATCAAACAAAACCAGGGAGCACCACAGAGCTCATATCTGAGCCAGCAACACTTCTACTGACAACACACATCACAGCAATAGAAAAGCAAAAAACATTAAAAATCAAATTTAAATTAAAACTGCATCAGTTGGCTCTGAATTATAGGAGTTTCTTTGTTATTGTTTGTTTGTTTTTACAGTTTTGCTAGCAGAGTCCTTTCAACACCTAAGTTTTTGGTTGCAACTGATTTAGTTATTCCTAGGTCTTTAGAGTCCTGCATCACAACAGAGACAGGCAAGGTTTGCATGCTGTTCTGCAGTTTGTGTTTCGTGGGTTGTTTGTTTTGTTTTGGCCTGATTCATATGTCCTTCCAAGGGGCACACCTGGGAAGAGTGCACTTAGTGGGGCGGACAGCCTCTTCAGCATCCTTCTTTTGAGATATCCCTGACCCTTGCCATAAATATCTAAAGTAGCTTTGTCTGCTGAATGTTGTGCCAAGAAGCTCTAACCCTGCCAACAGAGCCATCTGCAACTTCAGTTTTACAGCATTTGTGCAAAAAATACTTTTCCTATTAGGAAAATGACATGCTGTGCCAGGCAACATCCCTTAGGGTTCTTCACCTGCTCTGCAGAGTGGTTGTGCATGGCAAATACGTTGTGATTAATGAACCCTTATGGAAATATTTCCTCTCCCATTGCACTTTATTGTGAAACATTGGCAGTGAGTTATTGGGGACTGGGGAGTCATTGCTCTTTGTCTACTTTACTCTCTGCAATTTAGACAAGAGGCAGGGGAAGAAGATACTTTCTCTTTTTACACACCAGGGACCAAATTTCAGCCCAGGGTGTTTATTTCTGTCCCATCAATTTTGGCCAAATTGCTGGCTAAAATGAGCATTTACACACATAATTACTGTCACTGATTTATAGGCATAATCAGGTGATTAGACAGCTAAACATCCTCATTTGCATCCACAATTAATTGCACCAGCAATTGATGTTATGTGTGCAAATTAGCAGTTATTAAAATAAAAAGATTGTTTCATAAAATGCTTCATATATCAAAGACATTTTATACCCACGGTTAAATTTTAAAAAAAGAAGAGAAAGTTCTTTTCTTGTTGGGGTTTCCAAATATAGTTTAGAATGTGTCATTATTGCAGTGCTATTATATATATGTGCATCATGTAATTGCATTTTAGACACTGTTACTGAAGTCCTATTGTCAGGATATGCTATAAATGCTATGCAGACACACTCAAAGGCAGTTCCTGTCCTGAAGAGTTGTTTTCATTCTGGTCGTCTGGTATCATTCTAGTGGAGCTCACATTTCTCCTGAGTTCAAGCTGTGGCCAGTACACTCACATTCAAGCAACATATAAGAAGGACTCATGACAGCTCTGGCTTTGAAACTATCTTAGGTTTGTTGTGGAGCATGCTGCTCAAACATGAAGTTTCAGACGCGTTATTATTCAGTGGTGATTATATCTTAAGACCTAAACTTCGGACATATGCAGTTCCCTACAAATAGACAAAAACTGCCTACACATTTCCCCAAAAATCATTTAATTGACAAAAAATAAATGACAAGAAATGATTAAGCGAGAGCAGTAGTGGGAGAAAGGAAGAACGGGAACTACAGCAACAATACTGCTACCTAGGAAAGCAACTACTTCATCTAGTAAGTCAAGATTGTTATGTTTGCAGAGAAAATCTTAAGTAATAGAGTTTCCTAAAGCTAGAGAAAGTTAGAAGACTAAAAAATTGCTACCAGAAAGTTAAATCAGATATTTAATTTTTTTTTTTTCCTTCCTCTGAAGCCAGAGCACTGCTTAGCTTGTCAACCATATAGGCAAGCTTACTACTCAGCATGAAGAGAAGGGAGTAGGAAGTAATACTATATTCCTAATAATCAGATGGCAACATATATATTGCTCTTTGAGAACTGATGCCTTTTTTACTCTCAGGAGGAAACAGAGAATGCTTCAGCATGAATTGCTTTAATTTATTTCAGTATATCATAAGACATGGTATATATTCCATTGATTTCAGGGTTATGATTTATATCTGGGACAAGATCTTGAATGACATTCTTTTTCCATTATATTAATGAAGGAAGGCAGTAAAGTCAAAAGCAAACAAAAAAGCAGGTTAATCCCTGTTCTGCCTACAAAAAGTGTTCATGATGTAAGCCAAACAGAAAGAAAAAGTCACCTATATTTGTAGCTGTGGAAAAAATTCTGTACTATGGGTAGATCAATTCATTCTCATGAAAAGGTGGCTCTCCAGAGTTTCAAAAATCAAGAATTCTCATTTTGCTCCAGATTTCCATCCTAAACTTGATGAGAGGTCAGCTTTGAGTGAGATATCTACATTTAAAATACATCTAGTGACATTTTAATTGCATAATTAAAGCATGCCCAATTGTGCATTTAATTGAGATGTGGTAGTGTAATTATATGATAATACTAAATATTTATAGGAGTGCTTTCCAAGTTTAAAGGGCTTTACAAACAGTAGTTGATTAACTCGGATACGTGTAAATAGTCTGACAGGATTCACAGCCCAGGAATTGGCAGCTAACCAACCTAAAACCTTCCTGGAGAGCAAGGTATAGCATTCACACAAAATCAAAACCAGGTGTGGTTCTCTAAACCAATAATGGGAATGAATTGTCCCTATCTGGTTTGCAAACAAATTTTCCCTTCTTTCTCCCTTGTTTTAAGGAATGTGTTTGTCTTGAATACTCTCATCCAGATAATACTCCCTCAGCTCTTGCTCCAGTACAAGGCAGACAAAGAAACTCCCCAAATACCTTGCAAACAGGAGGCAATTCCTCAGATCTCAGTTATTCTAGAAGAGAGAACTGAGTAGGACATGAAAACCAAATCCTGATTGCTTGTGGACCTGTTCCCTTGAGTGCAGAACTGATCTCACTGCCCATGGTTCGGCTTCATCAAGGTCTTTCAGTCTGCTGAGCTACTCTGGGATTCGATCCCAAATGTTGCCATTTGTCCTCACC